GGATTGTGGGCATTATATTCTCAACAGCCATAGAACATGAACCGGTGGTTATATGAAACAAACAAAAAAAAAGTTAACAAATACTACTTAATTAATGACTCACCAAATAGTTATTTCTAATTTTAGTACTTAATTAATTACAGGTATTATTGATCCACTAATTAATTGTTTGCACTACTCTGGAGTTTTTGAAGTTCGATTCTTAGTTGATCAGCTAGCTTTGAAAATATTGAGGAGTCTAATTAGGTGGAAAATAATGTTCAAAATTGTGAAATTAGGTCCTAGAGCTAACTCACACTTCAAAAGCTAGCTCAAAGAGAGGATGATTTTTCAAGTCTTATAAGGAGTCCACCTATCTTATTTACCACCGATGTGGACTTTTTGTCATTCTTTAACACTCCACCTCACCCCCAGTGCTTATCATCTGGGTGCGTGGGCAATTTTGATTTTGGGGGTCCCAACATCGGGTGAGATGGGCCCTGCTCTGATACCATGTAAAAATTAGGTATTAGGCCTAATTTACACCCCAAAAGCTAACTCAAATGGAGGAAAATTGTCCAAGCCTTATAAGGAGTCCACCATCTCATTGACGATGTAAACTTTTTGTCATGCTTTAACAAGAATGTTATAAGAAACACTTTTTTTATAATTAAGTAAGTATTAGTTATATTATAAAGTAAAAAATATCAATTAAAATTACTAAGTCATTATTACAAGGTAAAATCCATATATATATCTACATATAATTTACAATTTCTCAGTTCAAATAAATATCAAAGATAGAATTTTTCACCAAAAACTTATAATAATATACATAAAGAGGACATTGTGATAATGTATTGCTGGTATAATGGCAGGCAAATGGCATAATTTGGGATTACATCAAAACAACCTGCATCTCCTCCCCTCTCTTATCTAATTCAACTATTTTTAATGTTGTATACTATTTAAGTGTACTAAATCTACAATACATTTAATTATTAACATATATATATATATAACATTAGAATTAATATTAATATACCTATATAACTCGTATCAAAACTTCTACCTCTTTGTTTGGCACCCAAATATTTAGGTTATTGAACTACCTTCCTAATTGTATAGAAAATACAAGGGAAGTGTGAATAGAAAAAAACAATTGGACTTTGAGTTTTTTAGAATTAAAAAAGAGGTGTCGAATTGAGAAGCAAGCCACCTGGAAGGATGTATATATTCTGGTGAGCTGCCAACATGAAGTATGAACTCAATTTAACCACAAATTCTATGTTGCTTCACTGTCACTTGCTTAATGCTTTGATCATCACAAACTCCGACTTTCTTTCGTTTCTAAATAAGTGATGTTTTTAATTTTTATACTATTTAAAATATTATTTATTTTTAATTTTAATTTTGTCTTTATTGATTTACTCTGATTAAATGACTTAGAAGAATGAAGTGATTATTTAAGGAAAAATGGTATAAAATAATAAATGATTAATTTAAATTAAATGTTATAGTCATGGCATAACTTATTTCAATTGTAGCAAATATGTTTTTTTTTACCATCTGATTTGGTATATAATTAGTTATTTTCGGTATACAATAAGTTATTTTATATATTTCGATATAAAATGGATTTATGATTTTATAAAGCGAAAGAAAAAATTGTATGTAATACATACATTTTTTTCTATACACTTATAATTATACAAGTACAAATCTTATTATACGAATTACGATGTATAAATGAATCTATACAAAACTGAATAATTTGTATAAAATTCGTTGTTTGTAGCGAATTATCAAAATTAAAAGCTCCAAATACAAAATATATTATGGAGCACAATTGTACAAACTAAACTATAATATACAAACATTATTTTTATATTTGCTATATGTGAAAGTTACTCTTTTATTTAATGACATGAAACTTTGTATTAAATAAAGAAAGAAGATAATTTTGTGAAAATTAAAGAGCAATTTCTTCTTAAAACTCTAAAACAAGACTACTATTTTAAAACAGAGGACTAAAATATAGGCCTAAATGATAAATTTATTTGCGGTCAGTATTTATATGAGGTTAACATATATCAATATATTTGTACATAAAATTTACTATCATTTAATGTATATTTAAAAATTAATTTAATTGATTATTTTAAAATAAAATTGGATCAATATTTAAATCAATTTTATATTTTATTCAAAAATCAAACTTATAAAAATATATTTTAAATAACAAATTCTTGTTGATAAAGATACATTTTTCATATGATTAAAATTTAAATTATTTAAATCTCGAAGAGAAAAGATATCACATTAATTAAGCAGATAGGTTAGTTAGATATTTTATCTTTTTGTTGAAGAATTTCTTTGGGAGAAGTTTTTTCCAAATTAAATCATTGCAAAAAATATGTTTAAACTATATATTCTGTTGATATAATAATAAAAGACGTTCTGTTTCGGAGAAAAAAAATTAAGCCTAAAGGAATACTACTGGTACATTTTTTAAACTTTATTTTACCATATAACTATAATAAATTAATATATTTTGATACGAATATTAGTCATAAAATGCATTTTTTTTTCAAATTTGCAACGTGCATCATCGTACGCCGTCACTCAAACCTTTAACTATGGACAGGTAATTAAGACACGTTGACAACTTGACGGACTTCCCAATCTGTAAATTAATTTTTTTCAAACAGATAACCATAGCATTGTCTTTTGAACTCATTTAGATTCATGTATTTTTTTATGGAGAATTTTTTAAATTGTCGCAACATATTCATCGAAGATACATTGTTATGTTATTTCTTTACTATTTCACGTATTAAATTATGTTATTTTATTTTTCTATTTATTTATATTTTGATCCATATTAAATTGTATTATTTTATTCTTCTTATATTCTGAGAGTAAAGAAAATTTCTACAAAATTTACACAATGTATCACAATGGTAATAGGTTTAACTAACTTAAGTTCTTACAAATTACCATCGATTCTAAAGAGTGGGATATAATTTGACTTTTATGTAACACTTTTGAATTGTCACTATATATATATTACTAAAAATGTTTGATAATAATTGTAATTAATACCAAAAAAATATTAGAAGTTATAATATTGAATAAATAGTCCCCCCACTACATGTGCAAATCTACAGGAAGCTTTAATTTTCTCTTCCCCACATAGACACACATTGTATTTGGACATTATGTCTTTAACAAGGTATCGATATAATGTATCCACATGCATAGCTTAATTACCAATAATTACCAAAACGTGCACATAACAAACATCTTTAATTACCAAAAAGTTTCCCTAATTTTGAAAATGTATAATTATAGGTTATCTAGGTGACTTTATATGAATTCACTTGCTAGATTTGTAGTACTCTTGTATTTTTTGTGTTTTGAACTTATATTTTACTCAAATATAATAAAAATTATTCGTCTATATAATGTTGTACATTATTAAGAATATCGGAATGGTAAAAATAGACATATCATGTGTCAACACGTCATGAACAATGATACTTGAAGTAGAAAAGATTGGAACTCTTTTTGTTAGACCCAATAAGTTTCGATATGTATTAAAAATCATATGGTATTTTTCTTTATTGCTCATCGTATGTATTACTGGTGCCCTAATTACCTAAACAACACTTTGAAGAATTTTGATCTATAAAAACACAAACTTAAGAAATCACAATTATTAGATGTGGTGTAAATTATAGACCTTATACCCAACTGCTCGTGACGTGTGATTTGTAATGTTTCATCTCATTGCACTAGTAACATTATTTGTAGTAGTTACAAAACGGATAGTTAAATGTACAAAACATTTTAAAAAGCGTGATATAAATAAAATATTAGAGATTATTTTCATGACTCGAACTTCTAATATATGAGTGTATGATGACTTAATTATAGTTGTTAAGAAGCTTGAAAAGTAAGGGACAATTAGATTAAAAATTAGGTGTGATGGGTTGGCTGAGAGCTGCTACATCTATTTCCCTAATACACTGAATGACATTATGTCTCTTATAATTTGTGATTAGACACCGACGAAATCATGATTATCTCAAAATAAAAAGATTAAAAGGAAAGATATTAAACATTACGACAAAAATTAATAATCCGTGAGCATTAATTTTGACACCAAATTTTAATACAAAAAAATTAGGGACAGATCATATCATAGTATTTGAAGAAGAAACAAATATATTAAGTGACTTAAGTAGGTTCTTAGCTAGATGAAAAAAAACAAAGACAAAAAAATATAGATACAGGTGGCATTCACATGGTATTGGCAGTTACCCATCCTATCCATTTTTATTTTAATAAATAAATTTTATTGAAATAGAAACAACACAAGGAGTAGCTGTTTTCATCTAGTGGTAATCACCCCCAAAAAAAAACATGAAAAGAACCTGATCCACAAACTTTTGGTTAGCCATATTCGTATATATAACTGAACTCAATATTTTCAATATAAAATACTAATTAACAAGTAAAAATTTATTAAATTTAACTAATATATACGTTCGCGTTTATATTCAAAATTCATTTTGATTGTATTATAAATGTTATTGAAGCTCTCTCCCAACTCGATCTATACCCCTCGTTTTTTTTCCTTTTTCTGTTTGTGGAGTGTCAATGTGTAACACATCGCTCTCCGCTCAAGAAATAACAAAAGAAAAAATTTAAAGATATGGAAAATCCTTCTTTATGTTTATATATTCGTACCTGTAAATTTAAAGATGCCCTTCAAATTATCAATATCCTCAAAAAAAATTTATATGTCCGATAAAGATAAAACTAAAATTTATAAGTATATTATACACTTTCTTCGAATTCTACTCGTAAAATTATATGAGTATATTTTCTTTGTCGTTGTAAATGTAAAGATGCCCCATCCTCTTTTCGTGAATGAAAAGCAACCGTGAACACTAACCACTTAAAAAGTACTCGTAGTAGTAAAAAATAAAATAAAATAAAATATATGATCAACATTGGTGAAACCAACTTGTTCTCCAAAAATGGATATGTATATACACAATCTACAATAAAATTTATGAAGAATATATAGTAATGACAATTATAAATAGCAACAACAATGATTCTAAAAATTATAGTAATGACAAAATTAAGAAGAAGAAAAAAAAAGTAAAACTGATCACTTCAGTTTAATTAGTAATGGCAATCCACCAAAGCTGCAGCGGAGAAGAGGAGACTTTGCTGGTTAGCTGAAAATTCAAAATTATTATTATCATCTCGGTGATGATCATCTTCCGGTGACGCCGGCAGGTTCAGATCAAGCGATAAGAAGAGCTTTGGCTTTTTCGAATTCTGATCATCATCGTGTGATAAATTATCTGAAGTGTTGTTACTTGTTTCATCAACAGTGATTTTAGTGTTTGTTGCTGTAATTGTTGGTGGTCTATGTCTTCTCATGTGACCACCCAAAGCTTGACCCGATGAGAATTCCGCCCCACAAATTGAACACTCGTGAATTTTTGGCTGCTTGTTGATCAAATTGCTATGTAAATTCGAATTACCTTTGTTGACTATTTGAGTAGGAGCGGTTACAATCCGATTGATTTTCTCCTCTTGTTGTTGTTGTTGATGATGATGATCGATTGAAGGTGAAACAGAATCAGCAGTAGATTTTTTCTCTTCGGTTTTGATTTTTTTGTGACTTGTTCTATGCCCACCAAGTGCTTGAAAAGATGGAAACGTTCTGTTACAAGTTTTACACTCGTAGACATAGAACCCTGCTTTTCCGGGTGTTGTTGTAGCCATTTCTGTAAATTTCCGGCTACTGATTTTCACCATCTTACGTTCAGTACTTTCCACTTGTAATTTCTGGCATCGGCCACTTTGTGCTAATAGAATTAAGCAATTCGCCATATCCTCATCTTCCTCTGTACTGCTCGTCGTCGAAATTTGAGTAGTTGAAGTAGTTGATGATGAATACTGCATCGATGATGAGTAATTATAAACATCCTCACCTCCATCACCGCCACTTCCACCACCACCAGCGCTGTCGTCGGCGGCAGCGGTTGATGACGTGGAAGTAACCATCGCCACCGCCATGAACTGCCGTGGCCGCTTACTGCGCTTACCTTTGAACACCAAAGTCCGATCGATTGAGTCCTCGGAGAATTCCATTAGAGAGGAAGAGTTGAAGTAGTGAAGCAAGTGACAAAGAGAGAAGTGGATGAAAAAGAAAGAGAAGAGTGGTGAGATAGCCTAAGTGCTTTAGTTAGTTATATATATATATTGTGTAGTGAATGATACGAAAATTGTTTGGGAGAGTCAAAATACCACCCAAGTGTTAAACTAGTGGATGAAATTAATGAATGAATTTTCAAGTCTATTGGCCAACCAATATTGCCTAATGTGTCTTTTAACTAGTAAATACTCATTCGATGTTTGATATTTTTATAAAATTCGGCTAAATTAGAATAACAAAGATAAAATGATTCAGGACTTGATATCGAAGATGGATGGTTGGATGATAAGCAACTTAAGTGTTGTATTTCCTAATTTTCCTTTGAATTTACAAAAAAAAAAAAGTTTTGTTTTAATTGATTTTCTATGGTGTCAAAGTTAGGTGCAAGTATGGTTATAAATATCACAACAGCATTAATTGAATGTAATTTACTCGAGTTAATGCCATGCATGGAGACAAAGGTTTACCAAATTATATTTATGGAGGTGAAATGTATATACTTTGGAGATTATTTCAAGTGGTAGTAATACTTTAGTGCACTAATAAGGTGAATGAATGAGTTGATTAAGCATTAAAAAGGGAGTGTCATAACTCATAACTGAAAAAAGAAAAGAAAAGAAAAAAGCAAAATAAAGAGAAGTAAGAAGAAAGAAAAGTAAAAATACAGACAGATCACGAAGGAAAGTTGGTGATAACTTGAAGTTTGGTTTCCACATTACACTCCTTTTTAATATATTATACTGTTCTCTTCGTTTTAATTTATTTATCTTATTCTCATCTAATATAAAATTCCAAAAAGTAAAATATGTCACAATTCACATTTATTTTTTAATGTTATGATCTCAAACATGTCAGATATAAATATCGAAATGGGAGAAGTATTTCTTATATGGTATGGTTAATTAATTTATTATGATTTATGGCTAACTAACTAATTTGCCAGCGAAAGTCAGGAAGGTAGATTCGAGTATCAAAGGAAATGAGGATTGCACGTCAAAAGCACACTCCATCTCACTTATTCCATATAAGTCTTCTTAGACTCAAAGGAAAGTAGTAGTAGTAGATGAAGAGATGCAACTAATAAACTAGTAACCCAAACTACCTAAATTCCATTGCCTTTCAAGCAAACACTTCATTTCCCCCCCCTTAATTTTATGAACGCACTAATAGTGTGTATTTACAATAACAAGTAACAATTTATGACAAACTTAATAAGTTAATTTGAAAAATAGAGTTATATTGGTAGTATAAAAATTCTTTATATCATTAGAATAAGTATATAATAGAGTACAACTTAAATTAATTAAGAATATTGAATTTCCGCCATCTGCTCTCTCGCTTGCGCTTGCTTTACCCACTCTCCCCCTTTCACTTTAAAACTTAAATTGTGGTCCTCCACTATTAGACCACTCAAGCATGACAAATTCAAGCTGTACTAAATTTAACAATTAGTATTTATTTTTTAAAATTAAATTTCTTATTCAATATTTGATACTTGATCAGATAATAATAATAATAATAATAACATATTCAGTGTACTTTCTACAAAACTTGACCTCTGAGGAGGGTGGTCGTTCTTGTGTACTCAATCTTACACCCTAGGTCCTAAGGTGGAAATGTTGTTTATGACAGATCCTCGACTCTTTGTGACGTGTATTAGTATTTTAATTATTTGTAGCTAATTAGTTGAATAAAAGTAGAAGGAAAATTAATGGGAAAGATGGAGTGATGACTAATAAAACCTTTAGAGATCCACATGTCCATGTCTCTATCACTTCTGTTGTCTAACATATAGAAATAGAGATATATGTAAAGCAAGAATAAGGAGTTGTAGGGACACTAGTGGAGTGGTGACCATGTCAAGTGGGATTAATTGAAGTAGTAGAATTACTAGTGTATGAATATGAGATCGAGAACTGTAGACCATACAGGTACCTTTCCTTCATATTCATTTTTTTATATATATATATGGACACAAATTTTAAGCTCGTGAGTATGGATTGATGAGTACTCACTCACTCCTAGTGGCTGGCATGCATGTTCACAGTTTGCTCACAATTAATCATCTATATCTGTTTGGTAGATTGCCTAATTTAGTTTTTTTTTATTTGATCTAATATTCTTTATATATAAATCGAGAACTGACAAGGTGAAATAGAGAGGGGATTATAAGATCGATCGGTAACTTAACTACTAAGTATTAAGTTCCCTTTGTTTGGTTGGTCGATTGATTAAATTATCCATATATTTTATAATTACATTATCATCGCTGTATCATAATATAAATTATGTTTACATACATTGGAAATATATTATTCGAAGTTTAATTTGTAGTATAATCCGTGACAATTATGTTTTAGAAAAACCTAGACAACTATAATTATAACTGTATATACTATAGTGAATGGAAGTATTACTACTTTGAAGTCGACTTCACAAAGTAGGGACAACTTATCTAAAAGAGGTTGAAAATATAACTGGTGAGACGGAACAAAGAAGCAAGTAGTGGGTTAGAATGAATTTTCATGTTGTTGAGGTGGTTTTAATCAAGCTAAAGTAGTAATTTTTAATGTTTTTTTTTAAAAAAAAAACATGAGGAAGAGGAAAGGGAAAATGTAGAAATAATTAAGAAATCAGATTAAGATTATGAATCGAATTCTTATTAATATGGTGAAAGTTTATATGATAAAATAATTATACTATTATAAGTAAGCGGTTGGCCATACTGCTAATTAAATTTAAATGTTTTTTTTAACTAAATACTGATTAGAAAAAAAAAGTGAATAATTCTCATGATCAAATGACTCCTGATTACCCTATCGTCCCTAATCTATTATGCTTCAATTGAAATCAACATTTCATTATTATTATTATTATTTGTATATATACTTCGAGAGAATCAAATGTATATAATTTTCTTTATGTAATGTTGAAAATTAATTACTTTAGAATGCAGCTATAATAAATCTTTTTAAGGATTTTATGTTGTTTTTTTTTTATATAGAAAAAGTGAGAGGAAATATTCCTAAGAAAATGTCAAAAGTCAAAATACAAATGAAAGAATGTGCTTAGCAGATCCTTCAAACATATTTTATATATCCAAAAATATGATTCTTTCTATCAGTGATAGCTGTGTTTTCTATTTTATTTATTCCCATGCCATTTCTACCCTTGTTATTTTAATATTTATTACTTTGAATAACGTAATTACATAAATTAGTCAGCTCTATAAGGTGTAAATCTTATTTGATCATTTTTTCTCTTTAAAGAGAAAATTGAAGTTCTAGTCCTTGAAATATCAATAAATTTTAATTTTAATTCTTGCCATCATATTTGACTAATATGACACATTTGTCCTTCAATAAATTAAAAATATATTTTTAATTCATTTATGTGTAGAAAATATATTATGTGAATTAAATTGTTTTTGAAACTATATCACCCTAATATATTTAGTAAGAGTCGACAAGCATAAGGATGAAAAGTGCATCACTCCAAATATTGAAAGTTTAGGCATAATACGTAATATGATTTCAACTTGGTTTGAACGAATAACTATGCGCGATTTTTAGTGTGCATAAGTAGTTAGTTAAATTTGTGTGAAATTGAACAAGTAGACGTACATATTCTAAATAACATAATACAAGTAGGATGCATGCAGTATACAATTTTTTTGTAGGACAAATGTGTTTTTTTCTTTCAATTTTATACAAGTTTAAGTGCTTACTTGTCCACACCCAAAGTTAATGGTCATAGTTCTCCGTTAACACCAAGTTAAGAGTCATATTTATATAAAATGACGAAAGTTTAAAGTGCTCAATTGAACATCTCGAAGATTAAAACCAAAATTATCCCCTATTTACTTCAAAAATTAAATATTAAGAGGAGGAAAATAAAATTTATCAACAACTTTACAGTCAAAAGTACAATTATCCGTTTTTTCGTATTTATATACTTGAAATGACCATCATAATATTATAAAGTTAATATCACTTTCCGGAGTTTCTCACTTTAATCAGTTAGGGCCCATAAATTAGTTGACATAATTTGGGGAAAAAGCTTAATCTTTCTTTGTATATTTGATCCACTCAATTCATTTTGGTATCGTTTTATTTGCCATTGTGGAAATCTTTTTTGGGGAAATTAGCGTTTTTTCAGTTTAAATTATCAATTATGACAATATTTAGATAATTCTAAAATATAATAATATATAATTTACTTGAGAAAAGTTCACAATACAAATGTAACAATTCATTTTGTATGACTATATCATTTCACTTTGTATCAATTATATATGTCCATTTACTATAAGAATAACATATACAAATCAAATTGATATACCTCGAAACAAACATATACACCTCAAAGCAATACAAGACAATAAAGCAAATAAAACTCAATATATCGTAATTTTTTAATTTTTTTTACTCATTTAAATAAATACATATCATATATTTGCTACGTAGATAAATATTTTTTTTTTTACTATATGGACTTCCCATAATTGGCCAAAGAACAAGTGACTTGTAAAAGAAAGAAGAGAGAGAGTAAAGAAAGAGGAACAAAAAAGTAAAGGAGAGTTCTAAAAATGGGCAGCCGAAAGTCAGCAAAATTTGCTGACGGCGGATTCTTGGCGTAACAAATTAATGTACTAATAGCTTAGCTAGCTAGGTTGGTTATGTCAAGCACGTAATATTATTTTCTATAACATTTTTTAAAATAAAAAAATGTAGGCATGAGTGGAGTGGGAAGGAGGTAACTCTCCCTAATGCTATTGTTTAAATATATTTGGAATTTATTAATAATAGATCGATCGAGAATGTGATGCATTATTTATTGAAAAAATTGTCAGTCTTAGTAGAATAAATGATTTCTTATGACCACTTACAAATTGAATAGAATAAATTAACTATTTCAGATTTCTTATAAAAAAATTATTATAAAATCAGAACTCTCGTCTTAGTACAATTTACGAGAGTTAATGTTCATTAATTTGGCATCAATGTGAAGTTTGAGCTTCAATTGAAGCACACTAGTAAAGGCAACTTGCTAGATTAATAGGAAAAATAGGGATAGCAAAGCATGTTTTGATTTATTGGAGGCCTATAAGGTAGCAACCTTTCATTTCTTCAAAAGTTAATAAAGGCCTAAT